TATACTAACATAGGATCAATGTCTCATGTGGACCAAGAACGTATCATGGAAACGCTGTTGGAGAATAATTCCATGAGAGAAACCGAATGCGTTAGTTTTGTCGCTGCATCAGCCGAATCTCGATCTGGGTCTCAAAGGCAGAGCGCTTCTGAGAACAACGAATCGCAAATTATAACAAGAAGTTTGGAATGCCTTATCAATGCTCAATTATGCCCAGGCAATACTAAAAATGAACAAAGCGCGAAAGGCTCTACAGAGGAGCAGAAAGGAGTTGCTGAAGCTGCACAGGAAAATAAAATGAACCGCGTATCATCTGCTGATGTTGAGCAAAGCAAGGAGAAGTTGGAAACTGCTGCGAATATCCAAATCTGCACAGAAGATGCGAAACTCAACTTTAAATCAAAAAGATACAATGATGATGTTAACGAAGGAGTTGATGTGCGAATTGAACAGTGCCGTGTCGCAATTGAACCCACAGGGTTAAACTTCAAAAACGATGGTGATGCAGCAAATTCTGAATTGTTGCAAACCACTCAAAGCAGATCGCAATCGGTCTTGAACAGAGAAGAATGTTGTTCTGACGGTAGCTCAGCTCGTAATGATAAATCTGGCGAGTGCAATCATGAAGAGTTTGTGAGCGAAGAAAGAATCATGTCTTTGAATGTAGTATCGAATTATGCATGCACACAAGTTCAATCTACATCAAATGCACCTATTCACTCGCTAGGCGATTATGAGAATATAGCGAACGGAGTTCAAATAGATACAGGTAGTTTGTCTTCTCATTAATCTTGCTAATCTTTTTTTTGTATTATTTGCGTTATTCCATTACTAATTGGCATCTCAAACACAGCACATGTTGCACTATGACCCAGAAAGCACTAAGCAGTTTGTCTAATCTCACATTAAACAATTAATCTAATGCAAAATCAATCATGCAAGCTTCTTACAAAGAGCTTTACCCAAATAATGTTCTACCTTCAAACGGTCAGTAGAAAATATTATATCGCCTAACTTCACAGTGGAACTTTCAAAGTCCATGCATGGAGTCACTTTTAGACTGTATTCTGGTTGTTCGTTTCAGCAGTAATTTGTTAATCCACAAAGTCCCAGATTTAGCAGGAGGTTTACTTAATTTATTTGCGAAACCGCCACATTTATATATTGTTTTAACATAATATCAAAAAATGGCTTATCGTTGGCTCTCATAGACCATACAAAGAACGCTATTCGAAAGATTGTTCACACAGTTTTTTCTAAACTTTGAGAATTTCTAAAACTCTAGAACCAACTTAGTAACCTATAATGAGAAGATATCTGCAAGAAAAAGTGGGAAATATATTTTATATCATAGAAGAACAAAGAAACTCTCAAGGCTTAGAAATATTTATCTAAA